GATTTATAACATTAACATTTTAAAATGGCTTCCCACCACGAGCTGCAGACAGCAAATCTTTGTAAAGAGCATCCAGCTCTTGGTTCAGCTGAGGCTTCACAAGGAATGTTCAAAGTAAGGACAGTGCCAGATGTTGGGAGTTGGATATCCACTCTGGCTACTCAAAACCATTGCTGACTCAGAGCTAAGCAGCAATATATTCACATTTCCAGTTAAGCAGCTCCTTCGAGAGCATAAATGCTTTGGAAAATAACCCAAAAAACACATAGAATAGATGCCCAAAAGGCAGCTTGTAAAAACTGCTCTCCTTCTCTCAGGTATGGCAGAGCCTGCCATCACCTTCCAGATTTTCAAGTACCAGGAAAAGCTGTTAAATGCAGGCAGGGCAGTTCACCTGTTGGCAGAGCTCCCACAGCCTCATCAAAGACTGCACAGCACCGTTCCTCCCTCTGGGCCATTTCTGCCACTTTGCTCTGCTTTGGGGGATGTCCTGGGGCCTTCAGGGACCCCAAATCCAGCTCACGACGGGCCATGTAGTCCCAGGTCAGGGGATCATCAGCATAATTGGCCTGCAAACTGAACACAGCATGTCTGTAACAGCCCACAGCCACCATCCTGCAGCCCCGGGTACGTTTAGAAGGGTTGTTATATAAGCTGTGGTATTTGTTTGGTTGTTATATTATGTAAGTATAAATATACACTTACTTGCTAAATAACCGAATGCCAGAGAAAAAAATATTTTACTTTCCACAAGAGAAAGACAAAATATTAGCTTTTTTTTTTTTCAATATTTAATATGGATATTCTCCAGAAATAACATGAACTAGGCAGGAAACTGTCAGGAGAAATCTTTCTTTCAAGAGGAACAACTAAAGAAATAAAAGATGCAAAAATGCCACAAAAGTACACGAGGAAAACCCACAGTTCCTGCAGTGAATTTACAGAAACTAAGTGCAGTAATTATTCAGTGACAACTATTTTATATCTGAATTTTTCTGAGCAGCTTTTTAAAGCCCTTTCTGAAGTTAAGATACGAGCATCCTTTTCTAAAGAACACACTTGCCTCATCCGAACACTAATTCCTTAATTTTAATTCCCTACAGGAACAGCCTTTAGTGCTTAAAGTCCTGTCAACCCACTATAAATTACAGAAGTTATGAGAACATGGTTCTTAAAACCTAAACTAGAACAAAATAAAAACACAACACAAAGCCACAACTCACTTTTCAAGGATTTCTTTTTGCAAATCTTGGGTGAAGTCAAAGAGCTTTGCAATGGAGAGCACAGCCAGCTGGAACTCAACACCTACATTTCAAGAGACAAAAACCCAATCAAATGGAGTATTTGTTAAAGAATTCCTCAATATATCACGTCAGTTGCACACTTTGCATTTTTATTTATTTATTTATTTTTTTAAACAATCAAGTTTTGAGACTGGAAGCCCAGCACTGTCACTTCAGCCCAAAAGCTGTTGTGCTGGAAGAGGTGTCAGCCTGCAGGAAAGACATGAAATCAGAACTATGAGCACTACTAGTTTTTTCTCTGGCATTATGAAGGTTCTACTGAAGAAATGGTGTATTTGAAAATGTGTCTTAGTTGTGTGCATTGGAGCTAAGTCTATCAGTATTACCTACTGCAGAGCTGGGTTAAGGGTGACAATTTTCTTATTCAATAAGTACAAGAAATATTAAATCACCTTTAATTTTCTGAGTTGCATCCCTGTAGACTATTCGAGCCATTTCCCCATTGAGAATCTCTTCAGAGTAATTGAATTCCCCCTGCAATATCAAACATATCGTTGAAAAAATTATTTTCCTTTCCCAGCTATCATTTTTGCAAGCAGGGAAAAAAAAATCAGAATATATCAATGTTTTCCTTCATCTAAATCTATTTTTATGTAACTTGCACAAGTCAACTATAAAGAAATGAAAGACAGTAAGTTTAACTACTCCTTTCCAGAAATTACTATTAATTTTCAGACTGGGGAATGTAATAAAAAGATTTTACAATTGCAAACAAAAATCAGTGTATGAAGTATTTGAGCTGAGCATCAGCAAACACTTGAAAAGCTCCACACAGGCACAGCATATGAACAAAAACTTTCTCTAAGCAGTTGTCAAACAAACCATTAATCCAGACCCCATGAAACTGTGCACTCAGATGGGTGATGCACAAGCAGACAATCTCTCTTAAGTTCAGCTGACCTACCAAGTCCATCTTTGCTTTTTCAAATTCTTTCTTCTCCTTCCTCTGTTTCTCAGCGTGCATCAGCTCCATCCTGAAATACTGCAAGAGTGACAACACAATGAAATGGCTGTGGGGGTTAAGTCATCAAAATCTAAGCCCACAAATGAGGCAAAACAAGCTCTGAGGAGCTACAAATCAGGGCTTTCCCACATCCCACCCACGTCCAAGAGCCTTGGTTTTTAAAAGCTTGTGCACATAACTATATGCCCTAGTATTTATCCAGACATTTCCCACATGCAGCAATGATCATTTCTTAGTCATTCTTTAAACCTTAACTTGCCCAACTTCTCCAACAAAGGCTGGGGATGCCAGACTGATCCTGAGAAATATGTCCAAGCAGAACTTAACAACACCTTAGAAGGGAATTTTGGGATGTGTTTTTTTAATATTTTTGACATTTTCCTGCTGAGAGGGGGAAGCAAGTTTTTTTCCTGAGACATATGCTGAACTGATTTGCTCTGATGGATCAAATAACTGGTTGTAGAAGACAACCAGGATCTCACCTCTTGATAAAGTTTTGGGCACTCTGGATGGAAGCGCAAAGCACGAAGGAACAAGTGCCTGGCACTTTCTGATGAGAGTCGTGTCTCCATTTCCCACTTTGCTGCCATAATCCACAGTGCTGCAAAAGGTGATACAAATTCATTAATTTAATCTCTCAGAATGAGCTCAGCATTGGAACAAAACTGATTATCTCCCACGTAAAACCGAGCTGAAGGACGGATCTAAGCAGCTAGGCAGATCCAGGGAGTTTAATCTGGTTTTAGCTACAGAGCTAATGATGTCTTCCAAAGCTAGAAAGGAGGTCTTGAGCATTCAACATCTCCCACCTCTGATATATCTACTTACTTCCCAGTCTGCCCACACCTTATTCAGCACAGCCCTATCAGAGCCCATCTCTCTGAAGCAGCAGCAAGGCAAAGAAAAGAGAGTGGGGACCTTCACCCCAATAGCTTGAACTGAGATCTACAAGAACTTTAACCAACACCACACAATCTACACTGAGGCATTTATGCAGCACTCACCACTGTTTTACTTACCTGGTTTATTGGAATGAATGGCCAACATGGTAGAAAACACCTTACTGAGTTGATGTTTTGCATTCTGTAAAAGAAGCGGTTTTGTTTTACCCACTCTGGTACTGAATGGAACACACACATCAGTGAAAATCCCAGGCAGATCCAACAATATTATCAAAATTATTTTGGTATTACAGCATGTGGCAGTAAAGTTTGTACCCCTATCTTGAATTCAAGTTCCAGATGCCTGAATAAACACCAATCCATTATCTCAGCTCAGGTAAGATCAAGCATTTGAAAACTCACCCACTGCTTGCAAAATGCAACATGTGAAAGCCAGAGTTGGACATCATCCTGTTGGAAATGAAAAGAGGAAGAGAATCAACCTCACAAGGTACAAAATCACTTGTACATTGACAAGCAGACAACACACCCTTGGTACAGCAACCTGGCATGCAGAAAAAACCCCCCAAAACTCAAATAAACTTACTTTCCATTTTCCTGTAGCTCTGTTGAACAGGCTGTGCACTCGGTGCAGAATAGAGTGCTCGATTTCCTCCTTCTTAAACGAGTATCCAATGCGCTGGGAGGGAAAAAATATCAATTTTATTGCAGTAGAAAATGTATTTTGCATAGAGTATTTTGCACTCTTAATAACTGACGGACTTACTGCTCGTCTTTTCTTGATCAGTTCCAGCAGATTAATTTCATACTAGAATGGAAAGAAAAATAACATTTAAAAGCAAATGAAGAGACATCCAACAGCAAGGCAAAAAAATCCAGATAAAGTTTGTTAGAGCTGATGGACAGGTGGACAATAAACATTACAAACAGGAAAACCTAAGCAATAATTTTTTGACTGGGTCACGACATTTCTAAAACTGGATGAAATAAATATTAAAGATTTCTACTGCATGTGACATTTCAGACTTGAGCTGTTGGCAACCCATATTCCTAGAATTGTGATGCACAAGCCAAACTTGTAATTAGAAGTTTGTTTAGCCACAAAAAAATTAACACTGTAAAATATCCGGAGTTGGAAGAGACCCACAAGAATCATTGAAGTCCAACTGCTGGCCCTGTCCAGGACACCCCAACAATCCCACCCTGTCCCTGAGAGCATGGTCCAAACCCTCCTGGAGCTCTGGCAGCCTCGGGGCCGTCACCACTGCCCTGGACAGCCTGTTCAGTGCCCAACCACCCTTTTAGGAGCTTTTTCCTTATCTCCAACTTATTAATTCCAGTTAACTACAATGTGCACAGCGTATCAGGGAACTGGAGGCTCCACATCCCTGGAGAGACAAGAAACCACAGGAAAAGGTCACAACAAGAGAGGCCTCATCCCAACCTCAGGCACCAACTCCTGGCTATGCTTCCTGCTCTGCTGCCGACAAGCCGCCCTCAGGTGAGCACCAGGGACCAGGCGAGGTGAGGGCACTTAGGGCACGACAACACTCCTCAGTTCTGAGCTGGATGTGCAGCGAGGGACGGCCCGCTCTGCTGCTCGGTAAAGCCTACCTGGATGTAATTAATGAAATCCTCCTTCCGCAGCGCTCTCCGCTGTATCTTGTACTCCAGAGCCGAGGCTTTCCTCAGGACGGCCCTGCGGGGATCGGGAGGTGAGCGATGGGAGCGCTCCCGGCCGCCCCACGTGCGCCCGCCCGGCCCCGGCCCCGCTCACCGGATCTCCGCGCGAGTGAACAGCCCGACCCGCTCCAGCTGCTCCAGCTCCGGCACTCGGTCCTCCAGCCGCTGCTCGATGCGCTCCGCCATGGCCGCGGCGCTCCGGAGCGTCCCCACACAGACCCGGCACAGACCCGGCACAGACCCGGCCCGGCCCGAGGCGCCGCCGCTTCCGCCCGCCCCGCCCCGCGGCCGCTCTGCCGCCCCCTGCCCGGCTGGAGGGGCCGCGCAGCACCCGCTGTCACGGAGCCGGAGAATCCTTCGGGTTGGCAGCGACTCCTGCAGATCAGCCAGTCCCACCCCCCTGCCAGGGCAGAGTCGCCTGGAGCAGGTGAGTTTGGAATGTCTCCAGAGAGGGACACTCCACGCCCGCCCTAGGCAGCTGTTCCAGGGCTCTGCCACCCTCCGTGGAAAGAAGTTTGTCTTCACGCTGAGGTGAAACTTCTTTATGGTCATTGTTCCTCGTCCTGTTGCTGGGCACCACGGAAAGAGTCTGGCACCATCCTCTGACACCTGACTTGATATTTATATGCATTGATGAGATCCCCTCTCAGTCTTCTCTTCTGCAGACTAAACAAGCCCAGCTCCCAGAGGAGGAGAAATGGCAAAGCCAAGCCTGGGACGTGCAGAGACAAAGCACAAGTACCCCAGTGAGGGCTCAAGCTGCAATCCAGTGAGGGAGGAGTGTGGCCAGCAGGTTGAGGGAGGTGATGCTCCCCCTCTGCTCAGCCCTGATGAGGCCACATCTGGAATGCTGGGTCCAGCTCTGGGCTCCTCGGTACAAGAAAGCTGAGGAGCTACTGGAGAGGGTCCATCAGAGGCCATAAAGATGATGAGGGGTCTGGAGCTTCTCTCCTGTGAGAAGAGACTGTGGTGGGATTCCTCCAGGACAAATGGCTCTTCCCCTCCCACATGGCACCTTCCTTCTTTCCACCTTCCAAATTTTTAGGAAAAACTTCTTGATTGTGAGGGTGGTGAGGCCCTGGCACAGGTTGCCCAGAGAAGCTGTGGCTGCCCCATCCCTGGAAGTGTTCCAGGCCAGTTTGGACGGGGCTTGGAGCAACCTGGGCTAGTGGAAGGTGCCCCTGCCCATGGCAGGGGGTTGGAATGAGATGAGCTTTAAGGTCCCTTCCAACCCAAACCATTCTACGAGTCTGTGATTCTGAGAAAAGTAACAATAAAACCAGGCAACAGGAAATTTCAGTTTCTTAAATGAGGAACACCCTAGGAAATGAAAAAAAAGTGAGATGGGAGACAATTTATTGAGAGCTGCTTTAAATGCATATTATCCACAGTACCTGCTGCTTGTGCATTGAGTTGTCACTGCTGGCACTGAGCTGGTCAGAGATGGAACCAGCCCCACCTCCAAACCTCTGCCCTGTCTCAACCATTGCTCCCTCCTGGGGGAAAGGCAGGAGCTTGTCACTGAAAAACCACCTACAAGGACTAAGGGCAAGAGGGCTTCTGGCACAGCATTTTTCATATATAATAGCCAAAAAAACCTGGGGGGAATTTTTCCCTTTTATTACAGTTAAAATGTTTAACAGATGTTGCCAAGTACAGAGCAAGAACCTGAGCAAGTGACTTTGTTAAAAACACACATAAGACAAAGCACTTTGCAAGAACTGTCAAGAACAGTGGTAGTTTTTTTTCACCTGCTGTGACTTGGACTTGTGGTGGTTTTTCTCAATATTGGGCACCAATTAAAAAAACCCCAAATGAATCCATAGTGGGAGAGGTTCAGCAACTTTTCTTTTTGACAGGAAATAGTGACATGATTTTCCAAGAAGTGACCAGACAGAAAAGCTACCAGGAAATGGAGAAGCACCATCCAGTCACAAGACCAAGAACTACAGTCTGGTGCTGCATTGGGGGCTTGGTGGCTGAGGCAGCTCTGCACTGCAGCTGTCTCATGCCAAGGGACCCCTTACCCCACAAGAACAAGTTCCTGATGGAGACTGTCCCCCCTGGAGACTCCCTTGTCCTACTCAGCTGCCAAAGGCTCTGGGTCAGAGCAGGGTCAGCACAGCTGTCCCAGCACAGCCACCCCCACCAGTGAGCCAAAGCCTTCAGGCTCTTGGGACCTACATTTCAGTGAGTTCACCTCCCATGGAGCTCAGCTTTCAGTAAATCAGCACAACAATCCTGCTCAAAGTGTTGGTGAAAGAGTGTTATTCATAATCAACAGTAAGTTATTAATTATATTGGGGCTGACATTTTGAGATGCACCAGTTCAAACTGATTCTTGTACAGATCCAAAGACTTTAATGAAACAGCCCTTAAGGAGGACAACACTGGGGAGGAAAAGCAGCATTAGCACACTGAATCACTGAGCAAGAATGTGATTGGAATTACTACACTGGATTAACTTCATTTGAGTATCTCTGCATCTGATGGCATGATTTTATACTATAAAAGCATTCTGTATTTAGAGCTAATCTGTCATGGTGCACTTAGATCACAACATGTAAATGAGAACACCACATGCAGTGTAGGAGTTCAGAACTTAAAAGGTAAATGTCAGTGATTACCTGTAAACCTCTGGAAAATTCTATTTCTATCTTCTTTCTCTCCTCACTCTTCAACCACTCAGCTCTGCTTGGGCTGCAAATCAGCAGTAACTGCAGAAGAGAGACACCAACATAAACAACAGCCTTCTGAAACTTTATGGTTGCTCATTTTGCCAGTCTGAAAATCTTGTTCTGTGATCAACCTGCACTCAGTCAGGAACTCTGAAACTCAAAACCCACCACCAAACAATCCCTGACTGTTTTAGGTGGTAGAGAAGTGTGTGCACCCTCAGGGGCCACAGCAACCTCCACCTTGAATTGTGCCTCCCGAATTCAGTCCATGCACAGATCCCCCAACAGGTCTGACACATGGGAGTCCCCCACATACCAATAACAATGGGTGTCCCACAAGCCCTCAGAGGGCATTAAATTTCTTGCTAGCACTTGTCAAAGCACCACAATATCATCCCACAGCAGCACATAGGCACAGCACAAACCACTCTGCAGGACCCATCACTATGGGACTCAAAGGATCAAAGAGTGGTGTGCACCAAAACAATAGACTCCCCAAGTTTCTAGTTTAGGGGCCTAGTACTTCCCACTCAAAAACACACAGAGCAAGTAACAATAAGATTTAAAATACCAAACTTCGTTGATGACCTCGCAGGATTATTTACCAAAAAAAAAAAATAGATCAAAACCCGCTTGAAAACGTTTTCCATTCCTTCAGATGTCCCTCCTTTCCTGTAGATGGAAGGAGAACAAAACTAAAAATGCCTTTCCCTTTCTTCCCCCAGGAAAACAATCCTTAGAACAATTAACATAACGGACTGTCAGAAGTGCTCATAGCAAAGTGACAAACGCCGTGAGTGGCAGGCGAGCCCAGCCCGACCCACCAGAACACTGCGTGCTGGGTTTGTCATGCAAATCAAAATGGAACCTGACATGCTCTTTGTTCATTTCCCTTTCATAAAATCTACTTTAAATGCCTCCCATGTGCCTTGTTTTGGAAGCTGACATTCCAAATGCATCAGTGCAAATTAAGGGAGGGATCCATTACCGATAAAGACGTTGTGATACAGAGAGTTTCAACAAATCTTATTGGGGGAGCTGGGGAAACAACTGCTGCAGCTGGCACCTGTAGGGTCACGCAGTTTGCTGCTTTTATGAAGGCTCTTTAGAAAAACTCCATCAGCAGGTCCTTGCAGGAGAAGTTCTGGCAAGCTGTCACAGCTTAATATTTATAGATTACGTCTGCAAGCAGTGGGTACATTGTGAATTAGGAATTAATCACAGCGGGTTTGATTTAAGTCTTGTCTGTGTTTAAATGCACGATGGTTAACATGCATAAGGCAAATATTTAAATTACAAATTGATTGAGATGTATCTAATTTATTTCTGCCATTTTACTACCTGAGTGCATAAACAATTACAGCTTTTCAGAAGATTCCTCCAGATGCACAGTATTTTTTACAATTAACTTGTATATAATTGTCATAATGCACTTTATGAAGATGCCTTTTAAACAATGAAAGTGATGTTCTGACCTCATGAAAATAATTGGGAAGCTTCCACTGACTTCAGCTGAGCCAGTGGTTCATCCCTTCAGGACACATTTTTAGCAAAGCCCTCAAAGCATTTACTGAGCACGTGGGACTTTGGTTTGAAAATATATAAGCACATCTGTTAATAAAGCAGTTTGGAATTTACTCCCAAAAATATACTAACCCAAACCTTGGACTACATTAACCTCCCTAGTTTTGTAATTATAACAATTTCTGTGATGATTTGGTTTCACCTCTGCCAAAACCAGCAGTCAATCTGCATAAATAGTGGTTTCATCACTGCAATTCCACTTGAGCCTCCAAAAATTCAGATTTGAGACCATGCAGTCGGTCAGTTGGACTGTTCCATACCATCATCAACCCTGGTCCATGTCCTGGACATGTTATTTTTTTCCATTCTGATAGAAAATGCTTGTCTTTGTCAATGCATTGCTTTACCCTTGCAGCTTGCAGGCACTTACCCTGCAGCATTAGATCTGAATCCCTCCTGGAACTTCATTCACTCACCTCTTTTTCAACTATTAGTGGTTAAAAAAACCCACAACAAACATAAACATTTCCATTTAATGCCTTATCAGAACTATTATCATTTAATCTTACATATCATCTCTTTACAAAGGCAAGACCTTTACTTTGCATTGGCTCTGAGCTTGAATATTTCTGAATCAGACTCCTCCTCATTTTGAGCATCCTGTTTCTTCTCTGTTGCCCCAAGATCTGAACATCTCTACACGGGGAATTTGCAGCGAAGGGGAATGATGCCTCTGGAATTGTTTCCTTGCCAGTTCACATCTGGTCCTCAGCACAAGACCCATCTGTTTATTCAGGGTCTCCAGGGGCTTGTACAGTAGTGGCTATGAGCCTTTTAATTTGATTTTGTCATTTGGCTGGTTGGTGAGCACTTGACAGGCTGTGTAAGTGCAGCAGGGCAGTTACAACCAGTCCCTCATCGTATCCTAGTGGCCAATTCATAACCCAGAGGAATGCCAGTCACATTTCAACAATTTAAAACTATATCAGTCATCTGCCCTACATACTCCCAAATTGTCAGCACCATGAAATGTATTGCTTAATTATCTTTAATTTAATGTTATTTCTTGCCTGTACACTCGTGCTCAGGATTGTTGCCAGAGGTCTGGAGAGCAGAGTCATAGTGATCTTAATTTACCTCACTAAGCTGTCTGGGTTTGAAGGGGAGGTGAAATGGTGGCGTGGCCTTGGGTGACCCAACTGTGTCATAAGGAACAAGGCAGGTAAAGACAGAACTTCCTCAGAGCAAAGCCTTGTATTTTTTAAACACAGAGATGTTGGCACCAGCATCAATTACACTGCCACGACAAAGAGCATAAAGTAAGCCACATATGGATTTATTTCTCCTTCCAAAGACCAGGATTAGGATTGGTCACAGTTTGCCTCCTGCTGTTCCTCACCTCCTTCTGTGGAGATGTGTTTAGTGTGGGAAAAGCGACCTCAGTCATGGCAACAACCAGTAAAACTACTTCTGGAGTATGGATAATTCAGGTCATAGTGTGCAGAATCACATCCTCCCAAGCAGCATTCCAAACACAAGATAAACTCTTGTAAAAGCCTTCTGAAGCAACCTCTGGCATATGAAACCCCAGATAACGTTAACTTTCATATGAAACACTTAGATAAGCTCTGCTGTGTGAATTTTATATGTTTGTGCTAACTGGGAAACACTGGAAAAACAGTTTCTGCCCTGATCTTATCCTTTAAGTAACTGCTGATGATAAAATTCCCAATTCTCACTTTATTAATCTATACTTAGTTAAGCCACAAAAGAAAGAATTGGTCCCTGTTAAAACTTATCCCTTACTTAAAGCTGAAATTAATTAGTTAACTAATTCACTTGAGGTTTTGTTTTACTATCTATTGACATGCTCTTTGATCCTCCCATATTTCTCGTTTTGAGTGATTGAAGATTTCATTCTTGCACTGTCAACAGACCTTTTGTTGAGAAACTTCTATTTACATCTGTAACTGACTGAATTCTCACATCTCCCCAGCAGTTCCTCTTTGATCTCTGCCTTTCTGAGTTTAATCATTAAGTTTGCATCAGAAGTTTTTCAGTTGCCGTATCCTCCACACTTTCCGGGATTCACTGGCGAGAGCACAAACTCCCAAAGTTCACTTCGAATGATTTTTTGAATTTTTTCATAGTTTTCTGATCGTTTTGCAGGAAGCACCACACATGCTGCATCTCTGAAACTGCAGCATGAACGAGCATGATTCCTGTTCTGTTTCAATGTATTAAATATTTAAACTTCAAGATTTGACACGGGGTTTTTTTCTGTGTATTTAGTCCATTTCTAGCCTTACAGTTTAATCATCTTAGGAGATGTCCTACCTTTCTAGAGCAAATTAATCTACGGGCCCAGGCTCTTCACAATGCTTTTGAAACAATTCTGGTATTTTTAGTCCACTCCCTAGACTCTAAAGACAAAGACTACTGCTAAAAAGCCACCAAACAGAAAGAAATCATTAAATGAAAATCAGGAAATAAATTTCACTGTAGAAGAATCATGAAGAGTATATTAAAACATCACCGAGAGAACTCCAAGAGACAAGTCCTGAGCATAAATTTCTACTCAGCAATACTGACTAATAACTTTAATCACTGATTGTTCCCCGTGGGAATGCAGGAGACAGGTGATTCCGTGGTGTAAAATGTCCTGTGCATTCTCTCTCCGCTCTCTGCAATAACTCAAGACACGTAAGGAACCTGTGGCTGAAAGCTGTGCATTGTGGGGGCATTAAGATTCCCTGAGGGCCACGTTCCTGGAGTGCTGTGCTCCTGGAATACATTTGAACAGCTCTGTACAAAAGCAGTCCCTGGCAAACACATGAATGAGAATCACAAGTGGCTGCTCTGTCAATCTCTCCCCCCCCCCCAGCATTCATGGGAATACTTGGGAACACTTGGATTGCTGTGGAGGATCTGTGCTCTTCCCTTCCCCGGGCTCCAGCACAGGGCTTCCCTTACAGCAAAGTTTATTTTCTCTTTTCTCAGTTCCCTACTTATGAAAACAGGGCAGCTCTGTACGTTAACATGCAGAAAACCAAACTGAAACTGAGAGCTTCCACCCCAACAGCAACATGATCCTGCATCCCAAATACACCCAGCATTCCCCCTGCCTCCTGCTGTGCTGTTATCCACAAATCTGGAAGTTTTCATATCCACAGATCTGGAGCTGCTCCCTTTCTCCAGCTGCAATATTGTGTAGCCTCTCTTCACAAGAGGCTGGGAAAACAATAAGTGGGAGTTGACTTTTGTTTTCCAAATAGGTAGGGAAGATCTTATCTAATAATTTCCATGGCCAATTATTGTTGATTAACATCAAATCAGACTGAAAATATAGAATATGAACTGAAGAATGAATCAGTATCTGTTGCAGACGAGGTTAACTCAGTGTGTAGTGAAGT